GCCAAAGCTGAGCCAACCCGAAGCCAGGAGCCAGGCACTTTCCCTGGGTCTCCCATGTGGGTGCAGGGGCCCAAGCATCTGGGCCATCTTCTGCTTTCCCTTGCCGTAGCAGGGAGCTGGATCAGAAGTGGAGCAGCTAGGACTTGAACTGGCCCCCATATGGGATGCCGGCAATGCAGGTTGCAGCTTTACCCACTGTGCCACAGTGCCAGCCCCCACCTCATTCCATTTTTATGGCTCAATAATATTCTGTTTTATGGCTAGATCACATCTATTTACCCATCGGTGAATTGATGGACATTGAGTTGTTTGTATCTTTAGACTATTATAAATAATACTGCTGTAAATACTCAAGTCTAAGTTTTTACTTGGATAGGTGTTTCATCAACACATTCCTAGGAATGGAACTGCTGAGTTGTGTGGGAGGTCTCTCTCTGCTTGACCTTTTGAGGGGCCTCCACACTGCTCCAGCTGCACCATCATCCATTCCCACGCACAGCGCGTGAGGGTCCAGTTTCCCACATCCTCACTCTCACCCATTGTTACCTTGGTGTGAGGTTGCAGCCCATTGCGTTGGCTGTGCTTTTTGAACAGTAAGCACTTTTATTACATGAGCTGAGCAGGAGGGAGGAGGACTCCTTCGCCTTTCTGGGCCCTGGTTTTCCCCAGGTGGGCCTGCACCCCTTGTCCCCTGGCACACAGCTGCTAGCTAGCTGATGCGTCACAGCTCACCCTGCCGGAGCTGCTCCTGGAAGACTGCTGGTTTTGCCTTCCTTTTTCCATTGATCACCTGCACATTTTCTTTGATCATCTTGTTGCCTAAAATTTCTTGGTCCTCAGCATTCGGCCCAGCCCCCTTCTTGCGGGGCTGTGCGTAGGGGGATCGGTGCCATCGACCATAGGGTGTGCCATCATTGAGCACGATGCAGTTCTTCCCCAGCTTCTCACTGGATGCAGTGTAGACAAGAGCAAGGATCTTTGTTCTGCGAGATCTGCACTTGGAGCCTCAGGAGAAGCTGCCCGCGTCCAGCCCCGGGGTACACGGCCTGTGTATATGTCAGGGGCCAGTCTTAGTGCCAGCAGCTGGACACGCCAGCCCCTGCTTCTGCTTCCTGTGGTAAGGCTTTCTCTTGCTGGTAGTCTCATGTCAGTTCTCTCAAGAGACATGCATCACTGGACACTGGCTGGAAGGAGCTCATTGCGGTTTTGGTTTGTATTTCTCTCATGACTATTGATGTGGAGCCTCTTTTTCTATGCTTCTTGGCCATTTGTGTATCTTATTTGGAGAGAAGTGTATTTAGATCCCTTTGTCCTCTCTTTTTATTGAGTTGTATTTTATTGTTGAATTGTTAGGATTCTTGATATATTCAGGATCTTAGACCCTTAACACATATAATTTGCAATGTTTTCTCTCATTCTGTAGATTGTATTTTCATTTTCTTTAAAATTTTTTTTAAATATTTTTTTTTTTTTATTTTGAAAGAGTGCAGGTAGAGAGAGGGAGAGAGAGAGATTCTATCTGCTGCTTTACTCCCCAAATGGCTATAACCTCCAGCATTGGGGCAGGCTGAAGCTAGGAGCCTGGAGCTTCATCTGGGTCTCCCACGTGGATGGCAGGGGCCCAAGCACTTGGGCCATCCTCCATTGTTTTCCTAGGTGGAGAAAATGGAAGAGGATCACCTGAGACATGGGCTGGTGCCCATATGGAATGCTGGCATTACAGACTGGCTTTATCTGCTATGCCTCAACACTAGTCCTCTTTAAAAAAATTTTGATAAGTCCAATTTATACATTTTTTTCTTCTTAAAATTTTATTTATGTCAAAAAAAAAAGAAAAAAAGATAATGTACATATGGAAATATTGTCTGCTTGCTGGTTCACTTCTTAAATGCCTGCATCAGCTGGGGTGGGGCCAGGCCAGCATCAGGAGCCCAGCTCTCAGTCCCAGTCTCCCAGGTGGGTGACAGGGACTTAAATACTTGAGCCATCACCTGCTGCTTCCCTCCCTGGGTACACATTAGCAGAAAGCATTGCGGATACAGATGTCCCACTTGGCATCTTAACCACTGCGTCAAATGCTTGCTCCATCTGTATTTTTTAATGATTGCTTGTTTTTGGTGTCACAACTAAGAAACTGTTGCCTAATCCAAGGTCATCAAGATTTATACCGATGTTTCATTCTAAGAGTTTCATAGTTTTGGGTCTTAAATTGAAAAGTTTCATCATTTTGAGTTAACATGTGGTATGAGTTTGGGGTCTGTTTCATTCCTTTGCATGTGGATAGCCAGTTGACCCAGCACCACTTGCTGAGTTTTAGGTCTTCAACCTAATTTAATTCTCACAACAGCTTTATGAGAAGTTTGTTATCATTATCAACTCACCTTATGGATTTAAGGAAATGTTATTTATTGGAGAGGTCAGGGGGTGAGAGAGAGAGAGAGGGAGAGAGAGAGGGAGAGAAACACGCAAGAGTGAGCAGTACTATCTGCGGGTTCACTGCTCAAACCCTGGCAATGGCCATGGGCTGAAGGCCAAAGCCTGGAGCCAGGAACTCAACCCAAGTCCCCTGCGTGGGTGACCTGGATAGGATGACTGTAGCTATCACATGCTAGGGTGCACGTTAGCAGGAAGCTGCATTCAAGAACAGAGCCAAGCCTTGAACCCAGGCACTCAATGTGGACGTCCCAGCTGATGGCTTAACTGCAGGACAAAAGCCCACTCTCTAGCTGATGAATTTTGAAACCAAGTCTGCCAAGTTTAGTGTCTTTTCCAAGGCCTGATAGCTCAGACCTCACGTCTTGCTGCCTGTAGAACCTAACACTCCATCGGCAGGCTTTGCTTCTGTGAAATGCATGCACTCTTAGTCGTAGGAAGGCTGCTTAGAAGACAAATGTTTGCTTAGCACTAAAGAACATTGTGTAACTAATCCTATATGCTTTAATAACAAAGAGTCCTGCGGGGTTTAAGATTTTTATACATTCCTACTCTATCCAATAATGCCTAATTCCTCGTGGTGTCTTGGCAAAGGAATTTAGGATTGAATTGTTGTTAGCAGGGACGAGAGTAGCACTGACCTATGGAACCTTTTGTAATGTATTATAAATCTGTGTGGGCATTAGCCATTCGCCTACTGTGGCTATTGAGTACTTATAGTGGCTAATGAAACTGAGGGAGTGAATTACTGTGTTGAAGTATGCAGAACAGGGGTTGGCCTTGTGGCACAGTGGGTTCAGCTGCCACTTGAGATGCCAGCATCCCGTACTGGAGTGCTGCTTCCCATCTAGCTCCCTGCTAATGCACCTGGGAAAGCAGAGGAGGATGGCCCAAGTGGTTGGGCCCCTGCCACTTGGATAGAGCTCCAGGCTCCTAGCATCAGCCTGGCCCTCCTCTAGCTGTTGGGACCATCTGGGGAGTGAACCAGTGGAAGGAAGATTCTCTCTCCCTGCCCCCTCCATTCCAGCCTTTCAAATAAATAGATAAATCTTTTTTAAAAACTCTTGAAATCCATGCATGTGAGGAGTCTTCAAAAAGTTTGTGGAAAATGTGCATTATATAAAAAACTGTGGGTGGATTTCAGTTTTTTCCATCAAAATAAACATCTTAAATTTTTTTTTTTAATTTGAAAGTCAGAGTTACACAGAGAGAGGAGAGGTCTTCAATCCAATGGTTCACTTCCCCAGATGGCCGCAACGGCCGGAGCTGTGCTGATCCAAAGCCAGGAGCCAGGATTCTTCCCGGTCTCCCACGTGGGTGCAGGGGCTCAAGGACTTGGGCCATCTTCTACTGCTTTCCCAGGCCATAGCAGAGAGCTGGATAGGAAGTGGAGCAGCCGGGTCTCGAACTGGCGCCCATATGGGATGCCAGCACTGCAGGCCAGGGCATTAACCCACTGCGCCACAGCACCAGCCCCAACATCTTAAATTTTAAAAAATTATTTATTTGAAAGGCAAAGAGAGAGAGAGAGGAGACCGACAGAGATAGATCTTGCATCCACTGGTTCATTTGCCAAATGCCTACAACAGCCAGGGCTGAGTCAGGCCAGAGCCCGGGCCTGAAACTCCATCCAGATTGCCCATGTGGGTAGCAGGGACCTAAATATTTGAGCCATCACCTGTTGCCTCCCAGGGTGCGCATTAGCAGGGGGCTTGGACTCAAACCCAGGCATTCCAGTATGGAATGCAGGCATCATTAAGCACCATAATCACTGTGTTGAATGCCCCCCTAAACTTACCTTTCTTTTTTTTTTAAAGATTTATTTTTAATTTATTTGAAAGAGTTACAGAGAGAGGTAGAGACAGAGAGAGGTCTTCCATCCACTGGTTCACTCCCCAGATGACCGCAACGGCTGGAGCAGCGACGATCCAAAGCCAGGAGCTTCTTCCGGGTCTCCCACGTGGGTGGGTGCAGGGGCCCAAGCACTTGGGCCATCTTCTGCTGCTTTCCCAGGCCACAGCAGAGAGCTGGATAGGAAGAAGAGCAGCCGGGACTAGAACCGGCACCCATATGGGATGCCGGAGCTTCAGGCCAGGGCTTTATCCCGCTACACCACAGCTCCGGCCCCTAAACTTACCTTTTAATACCATTTTCCCCCACAAACTTTCCGAAGCACCCCATATAAGGAACATCTGAATTTCTCATTTTAATCACTTACAATTAGTCTCAGTGTAGATGGCTAGTACTGGATGATGCAGGCGTACAGGCCAGAGGAGACCCGAGAGAGGTCTGCCTGGCGAAACAGGCGGAATCCAGGCATGTGGGCCCTGCGCACACTGCCCTGGGCCTTTGAGGCCAGGAGAGGGTGCCCTTGCCGGAGCTGCGTGGTGCCACGGGCCCTCTGGGCCTCTGGGATGGTGTGAGAGGTGGTGAGGGAGTCTCTGTCCCGCTCCTGCACTTCCTAAAGGCTGTGCCTGGGCAGGCGAGGGGCATGCAGTCCCTCAGCGCCGCAGGGTGTCATGCGGCGAGCGCGGCTCAGCCTCCGTCTCCTTCTCTGGTTTCTACAGTTCTGGACTTCAGCGACCCCTTCAGCACGGAGGTGAAGCCCAGGATCCTGCTCATGGGCCTGCGGAGGAGCGGCAAGTCGTCCATTCAGAAAGTGGTCTTCCACAAGATGTCGCCCAACGAGACCCTCTTCCTGGAGAGCACCAACAAGATCTGCCGGGAGGACGTCTCCAACAGCTCCTTCGTCAACTTTCAGATCTGGGACTTCCCGGGACAGATCGACTTCTTCGACCCCACCTTTGACTACGAGATGATCTTCCGGGGAACGGGCGCACTGATCTTCGTCATTGACTCACAGGTAAAGCTCCGAGCCCGGGGCATGACCACGCAGGGGGACCCCCGGTGCAGGCAGCACCCCTTCCCCTCGGCTGGTGCTGGTCTCCCCAGCACGCTTCTCAATCAGGGCTCTCTGCCCTCACAAGGAAGAAGAGGCGGCCCCTCCAGCCCCAACCAGCAGCCCACCCTTAGGGAGCTGGGCCCTCCTCAGCAGATGGCAGGCCTGGAGAAGACCCAGACAGAAGGGATGTACAGGAGGTCTTCAGGAAGTTCCTGGAAAATGCATATTAGGAAAAATCTACACATGGATTTCGAATGTTTTGCACCCAAATAAACCTATTTTTTAATTCTGCTTTTCCATGAGCTTGTTGGGGTACCCTTGTATGTGTCATCCCCTAATGGTAGAGATCCAAAAGAGATTCCAGGGTCTCTGCACCAAAAATATGTGAATAAATTTACATATTATTTCCTATGAAGATAAAGTTCTAGCCGTGAAAAATTGCCTTCTAAATCACATTATTAACATTATTACGAGTCCACAGTTAAGACAACATAACTATATTCTGTGTTTTTAAAATAAATTTAAAAAGTAAATTTTGAGCAAAGTCTGGCTTTAAAATATGCCCGTTTGATGTTTCTTCATTTCATCTGCATTTCCAGCTTGACTAAGACCGCGTTTGGCATCAGTTTTGTTTGGTTTTTGTTTGCGTAGACATGAGCCCCGAGAAACTTTGATCACAAATAAGCAGGTGGCGCTGGGGTGAGTTTTGCCATCACATTAGTCTTCATTATTGAAAGTGCTTCCCAGGTGTGGTCTCTGCATTCCCGGCTTTCTGTCACACGTAACACAAGAGGGCCTTCGGTAGCTTTAGTCATGGATCTCCCGATCAGGTCCTTCCTCGGCTTGCAGGAAGCAAGGGTCGGGAGCCGCTTGGCCGAGGAAGTCACGGGACTCACAGCAGCACTGCCAGGTGGCGCTCTGCCATCTGGGTCCTCCCAGTACCAAGGGGAGGGAGGCAGGGCGAGCAGAGCACAGGTGCGTCTGAGGCAGGTCCCCTTCAGGAAAGAGGCCGTGTGGCAGCACTGGGACACCGATGCTCACCAGTGTCTCCCCATGGAGGCCCTCTGAGAAGGTGTGCATGACGTGGCCCCGGCTGAAGGCTCTCCCAAGGCTCTCTTTTGCACTGTGGGCATATGAAGGTAAATGCATGTGCCTTGGGGCATGTGCCAAGCCAGCCCTGAAGTCCAGGCCTTCACATTTGCCTGGCACTGCAGCCCTGCCATCAGACCGGTGGCTGGCCGCTGGGGCGCATCCTGCCAGCCGAGCACAGAGCACACCTGGCAGGAGCATCGTGGGTGTTGGCCAGGAAGGGCTGTGAGAACCGGCACCCATAATGACAGCCCGGGGCCCATGCCTGGAAGACCGGTCTCTGAAAAGCTGACCTGCACCTGAGCCTTGTAAATCCGCTTAGGGAACTAGCTGTCTGTTTAATATAATATTGAAACTTTCAACTAAGCCTTTCGGTTCCAAGTGGCTGCACTGTGTGCTTCTTGTGTAGCTGTGGGCACGTGGCCGTGTGGTTAGAGGGGGTTCTTTCATTCTTTTGGTGGGGGTGTGTGTGGGGCCAGGACTCTAAGTGCAGTGCCTGAGCTGTGAACAGCCACTCACCGTCCTCCCTTGGGCCCACCCAGAAATGCGTGCGCCGTGAGTGTTTGCAGGCACCTGCACGGTGTGCAAGGCCTGCTGTCAGCAGCTGCTCTCCTGGCTGTCCCACTTGTACTGACCTGTTTTCTGGCCCATCTGCGGCCTTGGCAGACTCCCTTGCCTTCCTGTCACAGGTCTGCCAGCACCATAAATTAGGGAGCTTAGAGCCGAGGGGGGCAGATAGGGAGTGCTGGCCGCTGGGAGGGCGGAGCGGGAGGCCCCAGGGCCGTCACGCCCATCTGTCTCTTCCAAGCTCCATTTTCTCTCTAAGTCAGCGGGAAGCTGTTCCTGTAGCTGTTGCACTGGGGAGCACTAGTAGTGGCCGTGCCCAAGAGTAAGCAGATTCCAATCAGGTGACTCATCATGGGACTGACTTAAATAGCATGGTGTGCTGATATTTGCATTCACCGAACTCAGACGTCCAGTGCAGATCCATCTCAGGTGCGTGTAATAGGGCTAAAGTGGCTACATGTGCCTGTTTGTACATTGCACCTGTGATTTGCTTTCCCTTTTACCTGTACGTGAAAAGCATGTCTTCAATTGGGGTTGGTAATTGTGTTTTTTTGGTTTAGTTTTGTTTCCTGGGATTTTTTTTTTTTACCTTGTAGCGCAGAGAAAGGTCTAAGACTGAGAAGTTCATCCTTTTACATCACACAGCATCACTGATTTACTGTCACGTACTAAAAATAAGGAACAATTAAATAAATAGCTTCAGAGCCTGGTATACTTTTCTGTTGGAGGCAGACTATAATAATCAGCTGTGCAGGAGTCTTTACGTGATGTGAGGTCAAGCACTAAAAGGAAGAAGATGAAACTTTAGGGAAGTGTTCCAGCAGCCCCGAACGTCCTTTTCCCTTATCTCTAAGCAGGCCTATTTCTGTCTGACACCTCAGATTTTTATTTTCTGTTTCTGAATCTCTCACACTCACAAGATTGCTAGATAAATATATCCCTATGGAGAAAACGTGTCCTCACAGAACTTTGTGAAATAAAAACGAAGGAAAGCGAGGGTGATTTTCCATGAGGTCATTGTGTAACACCGCGTCCCCTGTGGAGCCTGCAGGATGGACCCCCACCTCTCAGCCACTGGGGGATCCAAAGCTAGCATCTGCTTGGCCCCTGTCGGCGACGGTGGCCTGCCTGTATTTCCGAGAGCCGTTTCAGAGCAGAGACTGGGCAGTATATTTTTAATTGGGAAAACTCATCTGCCAGCGCTGTGTTCTAGTAATCCAAGTGTTTTCTTCTTTTTAATGTAGGTTTAGCTCCTGTACCTCTATGCTGCTTTGCCTGGAGGTTGATAAGCAGTATGTGCTCAGCAGGGAGGCAGGAGGAGCAATTTCTGGTCTTTGGAGCTGCGATGCTCCCTGGACACCCTAGACACCGTGGTGTGGAATCAACCTGCCATTGGCTAGCTTAGGTCTGCTGAGCTGGGAGTCACAAGCCCCCACATGCACTTCTGTCCTACTTGTCAGTTGCAGCATGCCTTTTCCTGGGATGCAGCTGCTTCATCCAGGACCTAAGTGGGGACACCTTGAAAATACGGCTCTTAAACTCCGTGTGGGATTTGTGGAGGTGCTATGTGGTTCCTGTAGAGGCGCCGCCCCGGACCTCATAAAGAGGGCAGCACTGGGGCAGGAGCTCTCTCAGCTGGAGGCACTGCGCAGGGGCCCTTTCCTGCCTGCCATCCCATACCCTCTGCCCTCGGGCAGTCTTCTGGCCCGCTGCCCACTCATGATGGCTGCTTCTCTCTGCAGGGCGACTCGTGCCCACATATGCATGTGTGCACTCTCTCACCTTTCGAATAAAATGTGTTATTACTTGTGCACCTTAAGCACGTTTGCACTCAGAATGCTTGTCTTGGTGCAGGACAAGAGCCTGGAGTGAAATGAATACACCTCAGGCCAAGGCAGTTGAATGTCCCCTTAACTGCCCTGCTCAGTTAAAGACACAGCAGTGACGCCTGTTTTAAGATAGAATTCCATGCAATCCAATGCACTGTTGTAGGGGCACAACTCAGTGGATTTGATAACGGTGTACACTACATAACCACCGCACAGTCATGCTGCAGACTGTTTCTACCACCTGTAGCTCCTCTCTGTGCTGCCTAGACTGTCCTTAGCAACAGCAGGCCATAACCAGTGGGCTTTTTGTCACCATAGATCCATCTGCCTTTTCTAGAATTTCACAGATGTGGAATCATACAGGAGTGACTTTAGCTTTTATTGAGTGATCCTGCTGGCCCAGTGTCCAGTGTTTGTCCTTCAAACAACTCTTAGAGAGCGAAGGATGGGGAGGACTCCATTGGCCATTTTTTTCTAGTCATAGTTTCATACTGGTGTGAGTAATAATATGATTATCTAGAAACTAGGGTTACGTTTTTATGGATTCAGTTTGGGGAATGGAAGAATGCCAAACAGTATCCCTTATTATAGTGGCATTCTGTGTTTTACAGGTTTGAAGTCATCACAAGGGGTGAAAACTTCTTTAAAAGTCTGCCCTACCTTTTTTTTTATATAGATATACAAATATTTATCTTTGGGGCCAGCACTGTGGCATAGTAGGTTAAGCCTCTGCCTGGGGCACTGGTATCCCACATGGGTGCTGGCTCAAGTTCTGACTGCTCCACTTCCAATTCAGTTCCCTGCTAATGGCCTGGGAAAGCAGTGGAAGATGGCCCAAGTGCTTGGGCCCCTGCACCCTTGTGAGAGACCTGGAAGAAGCTTCTGGCTCCTGGCTTCAAATCTGCGTAGCTCTGGCCGTTGCAGCCATTTTGGGAGTGAACCAATGGACGGAAGACCTCTCTCTCTGTCTCTCCCTCTCTCTGTATGTAACTCTGCCTCTCAAATAAATAAATCAATTTTTTTTAAAGAAGATTTATCTTTATTTATTTGAAAAGCAGAGGGGCAGAGAGAGGAGAGACAGAGAAATCTTCCATCTGCTGGTTCACTCCCCAAGTGGCTGCAACCATCAGGGCTGGGCCAGGACAAAGCTAGGAGTCTTGAACTCCATCTGGGTTTCCCATATGAGTGGCAGAGAGACCAAATTACCGGGGCCATCTTCTGCTGCTTTCCCTGGGGCATTAGCAGGGAGTTGGATTGGAAGCAGAGCAGCCCGGACTTACACTGGTGCTCCAGTATGGAATCCCGCACTGCAGGCAGCAGCTTAACCCACTGCACCGCAAAGCCTGCCCATACCCTTCCCTATTTATTGCTATTAGAAGTGAGACCTGCTCAGATCCTTCAAATTGGCAATGATCATAGGTCTGCCAACACCAAGTGAAGAGAGGCTTTGTAGCATGAGGCACTGTTTCACACTGTCCAGTCACATTTAGCACGTCCATGCTTGCGACCCAGCAAGTCAGCTTTCAGGATAAGCCATACAGACCAGAGATTATCACAGTGTCACTGTACTGACACATACTTGGAAACAGTTGGAATGTGCATCAGCAGGCAGACATATGACAAATCATAGACTACCCACAGAATGAAATTTTGTACGGCCACTAAAAGGCGTTACAAGTGATGGTGTCGCATGTAATGGTGAAGATTACCCTGGCGGCGTCTGCATCCCATTTCTGAGTCCTAGGGTGTGAGTCCTGGCTCCCCTCCTGATTCTGGCTTCCTGCCAATGTGCACCCTATGGGGCAACGGGTAATGTCTCAAGAACTTGGGTGTCATCTACCCACATGGGAGACTCGGATTGAGTTCAGTACTCCTGGCTTCAGCCTGGCTCGGCCCCTACTGCTGTAGGCATTGGGGGAGTGAACCAGCAGGTAGAAAGTGTCTGTCTCTCTGTTTCTCTGCCTTTCAAATAAGATGAAAAGAAAACATTTTTAAAGGTAAGTGTATTTTGGTGCAAAAAGCTTTGAAATCAGTGCCTAGTTTAGTTCACGGATCATGAACCTTTTGAAGACCCCCATGCATGGACTTCAGATATTTCAGCAACAAAATAAACTTATCTTTTTTTTAAAAAAAAAAAAAGATTTATTTATTTACTTGAAAGGCAGAGTTACAGAAGTAAGAGGGAGAGACAGAGATCTTCCACCTGCCGGTTTATTCTCCAAATGGCTGCAACAGGCCATCCTCGATTGCCTGCCCAGGCCTCCAGCAGGGAGCTGGATGGGAAATGGAGCAGCCAACACTAAAACCAGTGCCCACATAGGATGCCAGCACCGTAGGGGGCAGCCCCACCTGATATGCCACAGAGCCGGCCCCTAAACTTATCTTTTAATTCCATTTTCCATGAACTTTTTGAAATACCCTCCTACAGACCTAGGAAGGAGAAAAAATAGTATTGTGTTGTTTGGGGCAATTACCTAGACCGGGGACTGGTAAACTTTTTCTCTCAAGGGCCACATGGTAAGTATCCAGGACACTGCAGGCTGGGTCTGTCCCTGGGGGTTTTCCACAGAGGGCGGTCACTCAGTTCAGCCCAGTTACCACTCACAGGGGCAGGAGACAAGGTGTGAACAATGAACATGGCAGTGTTCCAACGTAACTTCCTTATAAAGACAGAAAGTGGGCCCGAGGGCTGTGGTTTGCTGACTTCTGTAGTCATTTATTTATTTATTTGAAAGGCAGAGTGATGGGGATGGGGGGGGGGGATGAGAGAGAGAGAGAGAGAGAGAGAGAGAGAGAGAATATCTTCTGCAAGCTGTTTACTTGCCCAAATGGCCACAAGGATTGGGACTGGTGCAGGCCCAAGTCAGAGACCGGAATTCCATCCAGGTCTCCCACACGGGCGGCAGCACTTTAGCCAGCTTCTGCTGCCCTCGCAGGCACGTTAGCAGGGAGCTGGACTAGAAGCAGAGCAGCCAGAACTTGAACCATATGAGATGATCCCATATGGGATGCTGGTGTCGGGAGTAGCAACCTAACCCACCGCACCATAATGTGGACCACAAGGACCAGTGGTCTTCAGGTGGCTCCCATCCCCACAGTGTCCTGTGTCACATCTGCATCTCTAACCGTTCATCACAGTGCACCAAGAGATGCAAAAGGCTGGAAGAGGTGGCAATCCCAGGGGGTCCCAGGAAGTGCCATGTGGAGCTGGTTTCTCTTCCTTGAAACTCCAGCTCTGACCTTTATGACTGTCCTCGGCTTAAATCCTTACTGCCTGAGTTGGCTGCAGTTTTCTTTTAATTTTTATTTTCTTTCATTTTATTTGAACAGCAGAAAGAAAGAGATCTTCCATGGGCTGGTTCACTCCCCAACTGCCTGCACTGGCCGGGGCTGGACCAAGCTGAAGTCAGGAGCCTGGAACTCCATGCTGGTCTCCCACGTGGGTGGCAGGGGTCCTGAGCACTTGAACCATTGTCATCTGCATGCATCATTGTCCCATGGTGCACGTTAGCAGGAAGATGGACTGGAAGTGGAAGAGTGAGACACTTGGCAATGGGATGCAGATGTCCCAAGCAGTGACTTTTTTTTTTAGGATTTATTTATTTGAAAGGTTAAAGGTCTTCCATCTGCTGGTTCACTCCCCAAATAGCTACAATGGCCAGGGCTGGGCCGGGAGCCAGGAGCTTCTTCCAGGTCTCCCACGCAGGTGCAGGGGCCCAAGCATTTGGACCATCTTCCACTGCTTTCCCAGGCCATAGCAGAGAGCTGGATTGGAAGTAGAACAGCCGGGACTTGAACCAGCACCCATACGGGATGCCAGCACTGCAGGCAGCAGCTTTACCCACCATGCCACAGCTCTGTCCACCCCCCCCCCCCAAGAAGCAACTTTTAACTTCTGTGCCAAATGCCTGACAGCTGCATTTTGCAGCCTTACTTTTCTTGTCTTTGTTAGCAAAACATACGTTTTCAAACCCGAATTCCATGAAGCCAGCTTTTTGAGGAGAGGAGACAGGGAGCCTTGGCACAGTCACCTTGAGGCTGGCAGCCACATAATTTCCAGATGAGCAAGGTGTGTGTGGGAAGTGCAGGCAGCACTCACAGGCCTCTCTCACCGGCGCTGCCTCTGTTCCCAGGACGACTACATGGAAGCCCTGGCCAGGCTGCACCTCACCGTGACCCGCGCCTACAAAGTGAACACGGACATCAACTTCGAGGTGTTCATTCATAAAGTGGACGGCCTGTCAGATGACCACAAAATTGAAACCCAAAGAGACATTCATCAGAGGGCAAACGACGACCTTGCTGACGCCGGACTAGAAAAAATCCACCTCAGGTGAGCATGAATACCCCTTGGGGTGCCAGGAAAAGACGGGGAAGACCGAGGCTTGGGCCCCAGCGTCAGCCCTGCGGGCTTGGCGTGCCCAGTCATTTACCTCGCTCACCTGCACATGCCGGGTTAGGCCTTGGGAAACATGAGCTTTGCATGTGCTCATTCTAATCGCGGATAAAAGCAGTGGATTTTTGGTTTTTGGTCTTTTAATTGGTCAGAGTCAAGGTTTTCCACCCATAGGTAACATAAAACCAATGATTATAAACCAGGAAGTTAATTCGTGCTGAAGTGTGTGGTTCTCAAGAAACACGATACTCTCCATCATCTACAACAAAGGTATCATCTGAAAACGATTCAAGTGGAAAACCTCTCAGAGCAAAATGACTTGTTGGCCGTTTGTTTTGCGGGGTAGTAGATGCATCATTTCACTTTTCAAATCGGAAAATGGAAGTACATTTAGACACATCAGTGTGAGTGGTGCAGCAGCTAGCAGAGGCTTGTGTGAAGATGAGCTGGCGTGGCGCCTCCTGCGGGCCGTGGAGCGGCCGTGTGGCCAGTGCCGCACCCGAGACCTGCTGCAGGCCGTGGAGGGGCCTTGTAGGCCAGAGCCACACCAGGCACAGGGCTGGCTCATTGGCAAGTGGGGAGAAAGGACTTCTTAGGAAGTGCTTGTTTGTTACAGAGGTCATTGTGACTTCTGAAGGGGGCCAGCCCGTGTGTTAGAGCTATAGATACTGGGGTTATGACGTAGCTGAACCTCCTGTTGCTCAGTGGCAGGAAAAATGTGATGAAATATTGTTTCCTCTTTCAGCTTTTATCTGACAAGCATATATGATCATTCAATATTTGAAGCTTTTAGCAAAGTGGTTCAGAAACTGATTCCACAGCTGCCAACTCTGGAGAATTTGCTAAACATCTTTATCTCAGTAAGTAAATAGTTCACACCTGTTAGAGTCTGCAGACTCAGTAATATTGCAAGAGTGAAAACAATCTTATTTCTGCTTGCTCTCACATCATTTCGAGGTTGCTTAAGTATTACTCTTGAAGTTTACTGCTACATACTGGTTTAGATCCTTTACAGTTTAAGTCTTGGAACAGATTTCTGTACCTCACTAATTTAATTGGAGTGTTCAATTTGTAGACGTTCAATTTTTTTTTTTTAAGATTTATTTATTTGAAAGGCAGAGTTACAGAGAGGCAGAAAGAGAGAGGGGTCTTCCATCCGTTGGTTCACTCCCCAAATGGCCGCAATAGCCGTAGCTGGGCCGATTCAAAGCCAGGAGCCAGGAGCGTCCTCTGGGTCTCTCATGTGGGTGCAGGGGCCCAAGGACTTGGGCCATTTTCCACTGCTTTCCTAGGCCATAGCAGAGAGCTGGATCGGAAGTGGAGCAGCCAGGACTCAAACTAGTGCCCACATGGGGTGCCTGCTCTGCAGGTGGCGGCTTTACCTGCTACGCCACAGCACTGGCCCCTAGACATTCAACATTAATGGGACCCTCCAGAGGCAGGGAGCACATACTTGGTACTGCGAGGAGACATGTACTGTTGAGTGGCTTGGTTGAGACTCTTGGTTGTGCTCACATTGCCTCTATCACTACACGATTTGGGGTTTGTGCAAATTTTCACAACGTAGTGTTTTTTACTTGGTCTTTTTCTAACTGCAGTTACATTTCTAAGAGTTAGGAAATACTGCCCAGTGTGTTCACCTAAAATAAATAATTTGTGATAATTTCATTTCTTTCTTTTTTAAAAGATTTATGTTTCTGTGTGGGAGCAAACTGTTGAAATCCTTACTTAATGTATACTAAGCTGATCTTCTGTATATTAAGATAATAGAAAATGAATCTTGATGTGAATGGAAGGGGAGAGGGAGTGGGAAAGGGGAGGGTTGTGGGTGGGAGGGACGGTATCGGGGGGGAAGCCATTGTAATCCATAAGTCGTACTTTGGAAATTTATATTCATTAAATAAAAGTTAAAAAAAAGAAAATAAAAGTTCTTTTCTCCCTTAAAAAAAAAAGATTTATTTATTGATTTGAAAGTCAGAGTTACAGAGAGAGAGGAAGAGGCAGAGAAGAGAAGTCTTCCATTACCTGGCTCACTTCCTAAGTGGTTGCAATGGCCAGGGCTGGGTCAGGCCCAAGCCAGGAGCCAGGAGCTTCATCCAGGTCTCCCACCTGGTGGCAGGGGCTTGAGCACTTGGGCCATCTTCCCTTTTCTTAGGCCATTAGCAGGGAGCTGGATGGGAAGTGGGGCAGCCAGGACATAAGCTGGTGTCCATTGTGGCTTTACCTGCTATGCCACAATGCTGGCCCCCAATTTTCATTTCTTATGTAAATATAAAGAAGTTTATGCCAGTGAAGTTTAAATTGTAATAGAATGGTATGATAAATTTTTAGAAACTTGATTGTTGCTCATTCATAGTTTGTGCTGAGGATGGCATATCATGTTATGTAGCCGTCAGTGGCTGATATCAACTGTGGCTTCTAGGCAACATGTTCTTTTTGTTTCAGAATTCGGGGATTGAAAAGGCATTTCTATTTGATGTGGTCAGCAAAATTTACATCGCAACTGATAGTACTCCAGTGGATATGCAAACCTATGAGCTCTGCTGTGACATGATAGATGTGGTTATTGACATCTCTTGTATTTATGGGTAAGTGAAACCTTCTTTTTAAAAAATATGTGTTTTATTTATGTGAAAGGCAGAGTTGGAGAGAGAAAGAGAGGAAAAGAGAGATATCTTCCATCTGCTGGCCCACTCCCCAGATGGCCACAATGGCCATGGCTGGACCAGGCTGAAGCCAGGAGCCAGGAGCTTCCTCTGGTTTCCCATGTGGGTGCAGGGGTCCAAGTTCTTGGGCCATCTTCTGTTGCTTTCTCAGATGCATTAGCAGGGAGCTGGATCAGAAGTGGAGCAGCCAGGACTCACACCGGTGCCACATGGGATGCTGGTGTTGCAGGCGACAGCTCAACCCACTATCCCACAACACCGGCCCCAAGTGAAACATTGTTAGAGGCCGTAATCAGCCTGTCCTTCTCTTTCATAACTTTGAAAGATTTTGCATGTACTTGTTGTCTTTAATACTTTTGAATGATTGAGATTTGTAAATAAATATACCATTTAGCCTCAGGAATAATAACATAAAGTTGTGGAGCAAATCATACCTTTTAATCTTTTTTAAAGTGTGTATTTATTTTATTTGAAAGTCAGAATTACAGAGAGAGAAGGAATGATAGACCATCGATCAGCTGGCTCACTCCCCAGATGGCTGAAAGTGCCAGGGCCAGGTCAGGCGGAAGCCAAGAGCTTCATCTGGGATTCCCACTCCAATGGCAGGGGCCCAAACCCTCGGGCCATCTTCTGCTTTTCCCAGGCCCTTAACAGGGAGCTAGAAGGGAAGTGGAGCAGCTGGGACACAAACCGGCCCCTAATTTTTTTTTTTAAAGGCTTATTTATTTGGGAGGCAGAGCAACAGAGAAGGAGGGAGAGACTGAGAGTGAAAGAGATCTTCCATCTTGATGGTTCACTCCCCAAATGGCTGCAGTAGCCAGAATTGGGCCAGGCTGAGACCAGGAGCTTGGAACTCTAACTGGGTCTCTCACATGGGTGGATTGGGCCCAAGCACTTAGGCCATCTTCTGCTGCCTTTGCAGGGCCATTAGCAGGGAGCTGGAAAGGAAGTAGAGCAGCCAGGATTCAAACTGGTGGGCCAGCGCCGCGGCTCACTAGGCTAGTCCTCCGCCTTGTGGCGCCGGCACATCGGGTTCTAATCCCGGTTGGGGCACCGGATTCTGTCCCGGTTGCCCCTCTTCCAGGCCAGCTCTCTGCTATGGCCCGGGAGTGCAGTGGAGGATGGCCCAAGTGCTTGGGCCCTGCACCCCATGGGAGACCAAGATAAGTACCTGGCTCCTGCCTTTGGATCAGCCCGGTGCGCCGGCCGCGGTGGCCATTGGAGGGTGAACCAACGGCAAAGGAAGACCTTTCTCTGTCTGTCTCTCTCTCACTGTCCACTCTGCCCGTAAAAAAAAAAAAAAAAAAAAACTGGTGGTCTGATGTGGGATGCCGGCATTGCAAGCTGTGCCATAATTAACCCACTGTGCCATAATGCCAGCCCCATACCTTTTAGTCTTAACTATTCCCCGAGGCAGGCATTACTAAAACCAATTACAGATGGAGAAACTGAGGCTCTGAATGGTTAAGTTTCTCATTCCTGTTAAGTTGAACTCTGATTTGATTCTGATCTCTTGAAAAATCTGTGAACACATCATGACATTATGTACACTTGGGAGAAACCATTAGTTCCTTGGACTCCAGATAAATGCCATATTAATAGCATTCCTACTAGCCTGTTCTATAGGAGTGAGCTGCTGACTTTTAAAAAATAAGTTTTGATTGTTCTATAGGCAGCAGAAAATTAAAAAAATTAGCAAACAATATTGCCTGATGATTTTGATGTTATTTATAACCATAGCCTTATAATCTTAGAAAATAGAGCTTCCTGTATCTTTTTTTTTTTTTTTTTTTGACAGGCAGTTAGACAGTGAGAGAAAGAGAGACAGAGAGAAAGGTCTTCCTTTTGCCGTTGGTTCACCCCCCAAATGGCTGCCGCAGCCTTTGCGCTGTAGCTGGCGTGCTGTGCCAATCCGAAACCAGGAGCCGGGTGCTTCCTCCTGGTCTCCCATGCGGGTACAGGGCCCAAGGACCTGGGCCATCCTCCACTGCACTCCTGGGCCACAGCAGAGAGCTGGACTGGAAGAGGAGCAATCGGGACAGAATCCGGCGCCCCAACCAGGACTAGAACCCAGGGTGCCGGCGCTGCAGGTGGAGGATTAGCCAAGTGAGCTGTGGCGCCGGCCCCTGTATCTTAAAAGTATCTAAGATACACAAGGAGTGGGGGAAATTGATGACGTCACCAGACACAGAAATTGCAGATTTGCCATTCAGGTGTTACACTGAGGGACTGGGTGTGAGCGGGCCACCGGGTCTGTCGTACAGTGTCAAGGTGCCACTGTCTGTTGGGTCTCAGATCCCATCTGTTCCTCAATGAGGTGGCTTCCATTCATCTTCCTCTTTCCCCAGTGCGACCGGACGCTGCCGCCTCCAGCAGATTTTGCGAGAACCTCGGTCTCGCCATTCCTCCTTTCCACCGGCAGAGAGCCTGTGCTCACTCACTGTGGTTTTCCTGTTCACTCTTATACACACGGTCCCCCTGGGTATGAACTGGGGAAAGCAGCACTTAGCTCCCCGAGACAGTAGTGAGGTTAAAGCGTCTTCAGGCTCACTGCCATCTGCCTGGAGAAAGAGACCCCATTCCCTGAGGTTCCCGCCCTGCAGTATTCCATTATTTGTCAATGTAAGTGGATGACCTTGAAATAGTCATGGAAAATGAATGAGCCCTGATTACAGTCTAGATTGCTGTGGTAATCAAGTACAATGAGCAACACAATTAATCTGGCACACATTGAACGATATGCCTGCTCATTATTGTGCCATATGGTAATTAGATGTAAGTGGTAAGTTGTTCATGTAAATGATGTTAATCAGAGTTGCTTTATCCTAGCTAAAACAAACACAGGGAGGAGGGAGGGAGGGAGGAGGAGGAAGGCTTTACGTCAGTGTTCTGTGGTGGAGTGCAGTGTTCCTGGAACCCACAGGATTTAGTCAGAACCAGTCTGGGTCGCAAATGGTCTGCCAGCGCTGGGATTTCTTCAGATCGTTTGCTGCAGTGGTGATGAGCCAGCCTAGTTAACTGGCAGGGGGCGGGTGGGGATGGGTGCAGTGCCAGAGGCCCACCTAGGCAGGGGAAGAAGCAGGGGTCCCTGTAACTGGAGATCTTGCTGCCCGTTCCCAGCTGCCCAGTGGAGACCCAGCAACAGGTGACCTGAGGGTCTGCTGCAGCCAGCAGCCATACCCACGCACTTGCACAGCACCAGCGTGCACGCGCACACGCGGGAAAATGTGCCCCATTTCCATTGCTTGTAGATAGAACTTGAGTAGAACATAGCTGCTGTGATCGCAAAACCTCACCCATTTCTACTTGTAATTTCTTGAGGGTCTTTTTTGCTTTTCTGATTCGTTTCATTTATTACTTTTTTTCTCATTATGAAAATAATATATGTTCCTTGTGGAAAATTACAAAAATTATAAAATAATCTCATAATCTCACCCCTAGAGACAGGCATTGTTAACATTAAATATGTTTTATTTTTATTTGTGTGTAATTTATGAATGAGATCACTCTGTATATATAATTTTATATATGCTTTTCTCATTTAATGTCACCTATGAATTTTCCTATTATTAACTTGTCAATAAAACAATATTTAATACCTATATAGTGTTAGATGTGCTTGTAAGTTTTTTTAAAAGATTTATTTATTTGTGGCTGGCACAGTCTCTTCCTCCTTCTCTCTCTGTGACTCTGCCACAGAGTTCTCAGCATTAGGATCAGTGCTACATACGCATTATTTCATTTAATTTTCATTAGAAAGCTCTGAAGTGGGACCGACATTGGGGTACGGGGAGTAAAGCCACCACCTGTGCCGCTGGCATCCCGTACGGGTGCTGGTTCAAGACCCAGCTGCTCTACTTCCGATCCAGCTCCCTGCTGATGTGCCTGGGAAAGCAGCAGAAGATGGCCCAAGTGCTTGGTCTCCTGCACCCACGTGGGAGACCCAGAGGAAGCGCTGGGCTCCTGGCTTTGGCCTGGCCCAGCCGCAGCTGTTGCAGCCATTTGGGGAGTGAACCAGGGGATGGAAGATCTCTCTCTTTCCCTCTCTCTGTCTGTAACTCTGTCTTTCAAATAAATAAATAAATCTAAAAAAGAAAGAAAGAAAACTTTGAAGTAATTGCTTTTGGTGTGCAGCTGAGGAAGTTAAGGCTCAAAGAAGTTCTTCAACTTGTCCACACTCAGAGTGGTAAATAAGAGAGCCGGGTCCCTGAGTCATCCACTCTATAAACCACATCTTTTCTTATGTAGACCAGAGTTTCGAAAAAAATCTCAGACCTACAGAAAAAAGTATAAGAGTAGTACAATGAATTCTTGTATACCTTTCATTGGGGTTCACTAATTTTTATCAATTTGCTATTTGTCTATTTTTTTAGGGATTTATTTATTTATTTGAAAAACAGAATTAGCGGGAGAGATCCTCCATCCACTGGTTCACACTGGTTGTTTCACTCCCCAGGTGGCCTCAATGGCCAGGACTGGAGCAGGCTGAAGCCAGGATCCTGGAACTCCATCTGGGTTTCCTGCATGCGTAGCTTGGGCCATCTTCCGCTGCTTTCCCAGGCACATTAGCAGGGCGCTGGATTGGAAGTGGAGCAGCCAGGACTCGAACTGGTGCTCATGTGGGATGCTGGCATTGCAGGCAGCAGCTTAACCCGCTGTGCCACAACGTCGGCCCCATCGGTCTCTTTTTCTAACACTTAGTGTGTGTTTGATTTTGCTTAATCACTTGAGAGCAAGTTGCGGATACCACGCTGCTTTGGTCCTGGCCACTTAGATCTGTTCAGAACAAAACATCTCTCTTCCAAGATCACAGTTAAACAATCACATTAAGCAAAGTTAACATGGTTAGACTACTAATGTATATACCACATAAAAAATTTGCCAGTGGTCCCGGTTGTGTCATTTTTAGCAGTTTTTTTTTTTTTCTTTCTGATCCAGAGTCTAGTCCAGCACCTGGCTGTCTCTCTAGATTCTTTGCATTTGGAATAGTTCTGTGGCCCTTCTTGGTCTAACGTCAGACCGTGCTTCTGATGGCTTGGCTGTTGCATCACAGGAAGAGAGGCAGCTGGTGGCCCTGGAAAGAAGGGCTGACCCGCTGCGGCCACAGGCGCTCCACAGGGAGTGTGTGGCGTAACCGTGGGCTGTGTCTCCTCGTGCCTGTTTCCGAGACTGTTTGCTGGAAGGCAGCGCGAGTGCAGACTTAGCCTTATGCTGATCACCTTTTGTGTGTGAAAGCCGGTGCTTTCTCATCGATCCAATGAACTTGGGCTTCTGTCCTCTTTCAGTCTCAAAGAACATGGAGCAGGCACCCCCTATGACAAGGAATCCACGGCTATTATAAAGCTGAACAACACAACTGTGCTGTATCTGAAAGAGGTGACAAAGTTCCTGGCTCTCGTCTGCTTTGTCAGAGAGGAAAGCTTTGAAAGAAAAGGTAATTTCCTGGGGTGATTTTTATGGCTTGGATAACAGTGTTCCCCTTGGGTGTCCGGGGGCCTGCAGGGCTGAGGGAGACCAAGGTGGTGGTGGTGGGGGGTGCCTGCTCAGCGGGGCTGCTGCGGGGTCAGTGAGCCAGCCCTGTGATGCAGGAGAAGGCAGTGGAACCAGGTGAGGGTTTTGAACTTCTGGGCCAGTGAGGCTGGCAGGGGACCCTGGGCAGGGAGAGGACTCCCCCTCAGCCCTCTTCTCTAGGAAGTCTTAGGTGTGTGACCCTTTGTTCTCCTTGGGGAAAGGAGGGGACAAGGACTCCTGCACTGTCAAAGCTGGAAGGCAAGTGTGCAGCCTGCACTCAGTTAGGTCCTCAAAACGCAGGGAACTGGCATCATGTTTCCGAAAAAGAAGACCTGAGACTATTTAGTAACCTCACCGGCTGCCTTTTCAGGACCAAGTTCAATTTTATTTTAAAATAAAAGCAATGAACCTTGTTTTCACTCTATTGTCTAAATGAAGAAATAGCCACTTACTGATGCGGCTAAGTAGTTTTGCTGGTAGCCAGGGTATGGTTCAACAGTCTGCGTAAAAACCAACTGGCGGTAGTATCATGCTGGAAAGGCCTTTTTTTCCCTAATAAATCATAAATGTTTGTTATTAAGATGCTTTGAAAAATTAAGAGTGCATAAAGGAAGAAGTGAAACCACTCATTTCACCACCTAGAGGTCAACCTCTTGGTGAATGTCCAGGAGTTTCTCTCCCTGCCTCTCTTCCCTCTTCCTTTTCCTTCCCTCTCTTCATCTTGTTTGTCCTTTCTTCAACACAGCTGGGGCCGTATGGGCCAGGTAGTTCTTTATCCTGTTATCTTCACTTATTATATCAGGAAATGTTCCTGATTCTTGGCCAAGAAAAAATAATCTGATTGTTTTAATCACGACAGTCATAGATTCATTTAGAAAATTTAGAAATAACAAATAAGGAAAAAAAGAAAGTGTTGGTAAGCTTCTTATTCAGATAACCCCTCTTAATATTTTCTGTGTAACTTCCCAGCCTTTTTCCTGTATACATATAATAAATATCATACATATATACATACAGAAGTATGCACTGTGCAGGCATATATGCAAATAAACTTGTTATTGCCTATACATTTCATGTGTGTATATTCATATATAGTATGTACTTTCCCCTGCATATATTATATTTACATATATATGTAATATATGTATATAATATATACTATATATACTTTTACCTGCATATATATTACATATATAGGAAAAAGTAAAAATACATAGCAAAATTATATGTATATATAAGTAAAATTATATCTACTTTTCCCTATATATAATATGTATATATACTTTTTAAAAGAACTACGAGATTGAGTCGGCACCGTGGCTCACTAGGCTCATCCTCTGCTTTGCGGCGCCGGCACACTGGGTTCTAGTCCCGGTCGGGGCGCCGGATTCTGTCCCGGTTGCCCCTCTTCCAGGCCAGCTCTCTGCTGTGGCCCAGGAGTGCAGTGGAGGATGGCCCAAGTGCTTGGGCCCTGCACCCCATGGGAGACCAGGATAAGTACCTGGCTCCTGCCATCGGATCAGTGCGGTGCACCGGCTGCGGCGGCCTTGGAGGGTGAACCAACGGCAAAGGAAGACTTTTCTCTCTGTCTCTCCCTCTCACTGTCCACTCTGCCTGTCAAAAAAAAAAAAAAAAAAAAAAAAAAAGAACTATGAGATTGAACTACTTTATAGCACCTACTTAAATTATTACAGACATCTTTGTAGTTCACCATGCCTTTTTTAACCACATTTTAGCGACTGGATTAGATTCTTCCACTTTTACACATGCATATTGTTTGTAGAGTTTGGTGGTATAAATAGTACTGTGGTGACCTTCTTTGCACTAAATATTTGTGTGCATCTTTGGTTATTCCCTCAGGAAGAATTTTCAGTGGAATTATCAAATAAAAAGGGTTGATTCCTGTTACATTTTGAAATGTACAAAGATGGCCAGCGCCGCGGCTCACTAGGCTAATCCTCCACCTTGTGGCGCTGGCACACCGGGTTCTAGTCCCAGTCGGGGCGCTGGATTCTGTCCCGGTTGCCCCTCTTCCAGGCCAGCTCTCTGCTGTGGCCAGGGAGTGCAGTGGAGGATGGCCCAAGTGCTTGGGCCCTGCACCCCATGGGAGACCAGGAGAAACACCTGGCTCCTGCCATCGGATCAGCGCGGTGCGCCGGCCACAGTGTGCTGGCCGCGGCGGCCATTGGAGGGTGAACCAATGACAAAGGAAGACCTTTCTCTTTGTCTCTCTCTCTCTCTCACTGTCCACTCTGCCTGTCAAAAAAAAAAAAAAGAAAGAAATGTACAAAGATGAGTAAGTTCAGATTTGTCAAGAACTGTCAGTATGATGTCTGAAAGTCCCCAAATTGAGTATTTAATTGTAACCTTCTCACTGAGCCAAATTCCTCTCATGAGGCTTTCTTCCTAAGGCAGTTTGTTGCAGATACAAGCAAAGAATTGTTGAGGTTGTTTTCACATGTCGTATCCAAATCCCCACTAAGTTAAAGCATTTCCTTGTTCTTTGCTGCTTTCCTACTGTGTTCCCCCACTGCTTCCCTGGTCTCAGCACCCTGGTGTGTGGCTCACTACCTCTATAGAAACAGCAGAGGGCGCCACACGGGATTTCCTGCTCTGGAAGCTGAGCTGGTGATTCCCGCCTCACACTGTCAGTTGCATAATTTGAAAAATTCCATCCTATGCGTGGAACTCCAATTATTTCTTCAGAAAGGGCTCTGGAAGCATCCATCACTTGATAGATGCAAATGCTTGTTGAGCGAGTTATTTTAAGAAAGCTACAGATAGCAGATAGCACCAACCACTGCATCCTGACCACATAAACATACTCCACATTGACCTCCCACACTTTTACAAATGAATGATGAAAAATGCATTCCTGAAACATAGGGTTATCTTTTATTCCATTCCATTGTCATGCCTCTGATTTATTTCTGACACAGAATATCCTCCTCTCCTCCAGCTCTCCATGTAAAATTTGCTAACATTGAAAAGCTGTGGGTGTCATTGGTTGGTGGGTCCCTGAGCATGGAGTTGACACGAGCAACTGTGATCTCTTAAGTCTGGGACTTTCTTTTCCCTGGGGCTTGTAAGAAAGGTTTAAATATAATAGAAACTCAGTAAATATTCATGGTTGGGTAATTGATTGGTACTGTGGCTTTGAGAGCCCAGCAGATCAGGATTTGCCTCCACACAGAGTCAACTTAACAATACCTTTTTGGGGGGGTTGATTTTTTTTTTATCTTTTTTTTTTTTTTTTGACAGGCAGAGTGGACAGTGAGAGAGAGAGAGAGACAGAGAGAAAGGTCTTTCTTTTGCCGTTGGTTCACCCTCCAATGGCCGCTGCCGCCGGCGCACCGCGCTGATCCGATGGCAGGAGCCAGGTACTTATCCTGGTCTCCCATGGGGTGCAGGGCCCAAGCACTTGGGCCATCCTCCACTGCACTCCCTGGCCACAGCAGAGAGCTGGCCTGGAAGAGGGGCAACAGGGACAGAATCCGGCACCCCGACCGGGACTAGAACCTGGTGTGCCGGCGCCGCAAGGTGGAGGATGAGCCTAGTGAGCGTGGCGCCAGCTGGGGGGGGGGTTGATTTTTCATCAAAGATTAATCTTCAATTCTGAAAGGTTAGAAGGTGTAGTTCAGTGTTTTTCAAATATTTTGAGTCATAGACACTTTCAACCATGGGTGAATATTTGGAACCTCACCTCAGGAAAATAAAATTTTCTTTCCCAAAGAAACCTTTTATTTAGTGAGTACAAATTTCCTAAGTACAACTTTAGGAATATAGTGATTGTTCCCACCATATCCGCCCTCCCGCCGCCACTCCCACCCCTCCTCCTCCTCTCTCTCCCATTCCCAACCCCATTCTCCATTAGTATTCATTTTCAATTAACTTTATACACAAAAGATCAACTCTATGCTAAGTAAAGATTTCAACAGTTTGCCCCCACACACACACACAAAACTGAGAGCAAGTTTTACTACAGGTCAGCACACGTTCCCACAGACTTATACCTAAGGGTAAAGCTAAAAACTTGCCATGGGACTCCAAATCCCATTAAGTTGGCAGGTACTAATGCCATCTTACTAGTTAAAGTGATCATTTTAAGTGCATAACTGATCATAGAGATAGGAATAAGTGTCAAAGGGATCACATAAATAAGACCAGTGTCTGCTAATAACAATAGATAGAAATAAAAAGGAAAGAATGATCCAACATGGGAAGCAGGCTGCACAGCAGACTTATAGAATGATAAATGCCCTAAACAGTACTCAGGCCTCAGAATCAGCCCTTACGGCATTCAGATCTGGCTAAAAAGCACATGAGAGTATTTCAGGCATGGAAAGCCAGGACACTATGGCAAAAAATGGCCTACATGAAAGATCTCTGTGAGTGAGATTCTAGTGGAAAGAAGGGCCATCAAAGAAGGAGGTACCTTTCTCTGAAGGGAGGAGAGAACTTCCACTTTGATTATGGCCCTGTCTAGATAATGATGGAGTTTGTGGACTCAAAAGGCTTCCCTAGCCTTGGCAGCTCATGACAAGAACCTCGGGTGATCACTGACATCATACATAAGAGTCTCAATTGTTAACAACAGGAGTCACTGTGCACTTGCTCCCCATATAGGACCTCTGGCCTTAATGAGTCGTACTATGAGAATTAACAGTAAACAGTACTTTATACTTTGTGTGTCTGTGTGGGTGCGAACTGTTGAAATCTTTACTTAGTATAGAGTTGATCTCCTGTATATAATTAAAATGAATCTTAAAGCAGAATGGGATGGGAGAGGGAGTAGGAGGTGGGATGGGAGTGGGGATAGGAGGGCAGTTATGGGGGGAAGAACCAGTATATTCCAAAAACTTTACCTATGAAACTTGTATTTATTAAATAAAAGCTTTCTAAAAAATATAAAGAACAATTCTTACTATTAGCTCTCATAATACAACTCATTGAGGACAGAGGTTCTGTATAGGAAATAAGTGCATAGTGACTCCTGTTGTTAATTTAACAATTAACACTCTTACATATGATGTCAGTGATCACCCAAGGCTCTTAACATGAGCTGCCAAGGCTATGGAAGCCTTTTGAATCCACAGTCTCTGTCAGTATTTAGACAAGACCATAAGCAAAGTAGAAGTTCTCTCCTCCCTTCAGAGAAAAGTACGTTGTTCTTTGATGGCCTCTTCTTTCCACGGGGGTCTCTCTCACAGAGATCCTTCATGTAGGACATTTTTTTGCCACAGTGTCTTGGCTTTCCATGCCTGAAATGCTCTTATGTGCTTTTCAGCCAGACCAGGATGCCTTAAGGGCTGATTCTGAGATCAGAGTGCTATTTAAATTGATTGTCATTATATGAGTCTGCTGTGCGGACTGCTTCCCATGTTGAAACATTCTCTCCTTTTTGATTCTATTATTATTACCAGACACTGGATCTTATTTACATGATTCCTTTAACACTTAATCCTATCTATATGATCACTTAAACACTTAATATGGTCATTTTAACACTTGATATGGCATTTTTACCACCCCACTTAATGGGATTTGGGGTCCCCTGGCAAGTTGTTAAACTGTACCCTTAGAAGTAAGTCTGTAGGCATATATACAGAACTAAAGAGTTTTACAGTTACAAACTTCCTCCTCCCTCTCTTACCCCCACTCTTGTTTTTTACTGAGATCTATTTTCAGTTGACTTTATGCACATATGATTAACTCTATGTTAAGTAAAGAGTTCAACAAATATTATGAAGAAGAGAAAAAAAAAAACTCTTCCTCGACAGTCAAGACAAGGGGTGTTCAAGTCATTGCTCCTCAAAGTGTCAATTTCACATATATAGATTTCCTTTTAGGTGCTCTGTTATCACAGGTCAGGGAGAACTTACAGTATTTGTCCATTTGGGACTTGCTTATTTCACTAAGTATGATGTTTTCCAGATTCATCAATTTTGTTGCAAATGACCAGATTTCATTTTTTTTTACCTCTGTGTAGTATTCCATAGTGTACATATCCCGTAACTTTTTTTTTTTTTTTGACAGGCAGAGTGGACAGTGAGAGAGAGAGACAGAGAGAAAGGTCTTCCTTTGCCGTTGGTTCACCCTCCATTGGCCGCCGCGGCCAGCGCGCTGCGGCCGGCGCACCGCGCTGATCCGATGGCAGGAGCCAGGAGCCAGGTGCTTTTCCTGGTCTCCCATGGGGTGCAGGGCCCAAGCACCTGGGCCATCCTCCACTGCACTCCCTGGCCACAGCAGAGAGCTGGCCTGGAAGAGGGGCAACCGGGACAGAATCCGGTGCCCCAACCGGGACTAGAACCTGGTGTGCCGGCGCCGCTAGGCGGAGGATTAGCCTAGTGAGCCACGGCGCCGGCCTATCCCGTAACTTCTTTTTCTAGTCTTCAGGTGATAGGCATGTAGGTTGATTCCATGTCTTACAGCTATTGTGAATTTAGCTGCAGTAAACATGGGGGTCCAGATAACTCTTTTATTTGCTGATTTCTTTTCCCTTGGGTAAATTCCCTGGAGTGGTCATATGGTAGGTCTATAATCAGATTTCTGAGGCATCTCCGTACTGTCTTCAATAGCAGCTGCACCAGCTTATATTCCCACCAAAAGTGAATTTGGATACCTTTATCTTCACATACCACTAGCATTTATTGTTTGTTGATTTCTGTATGAAAGTCATTCTAACTGGGGTGAGGTGAAACCTCATTGTGGTTTTATTTTGCATTTCCCTGACAGCTAGTGATCCTGAGCATTTTTTCATGTGTCGGTTGGCTGTTTCAATTTCCTCTTTTGAAAAATGCCTATTTAAGTCCTTGGCCCATCTCTTAACTGGGTTGTTTGTTTTGTTGTTGTGGAGTTTCTTGATCTCTTTATATATTCCGGTTAATAATCCTTTATCAGTTGCATAGTTTGCAAATAATTTCTCCATCCTGTTGGTTGTGTCTTCACTTTCCTGAGTGTTTCTTTTGCAGTACAGAAGCATCTCAATTTGATGTAATCCCATTTGTTAATTTTGGCTTTGATCGCCTGTGCCTCTGGGGTCTTTTCCAAGAACTCTGCCTGTGGCAATATCTTGCAGGGTTTCCCCAGTGTTCTCTAATAATTTGATGGTGTCAGGTTGTAGATTTAGGTCTTTAATTCATTTTGAATGGATTTTTGTGTAAGATATGGGTCCTGTTTCATACTTCTGCACGTGGAAATCCAGTAGGAAAATAAAATTTAAAAAAAATCCCCATTCACAAAGCTTCACCTGCAGGTCTCCAAGCCCAGCTGTGGCCTCCTGACCTGGAGCAATCTGTGGCTGTTCTCTTGTCGCCCCCTGCTGGCTAGTTCTGGCTATGGCGACATGAAAAGATGGAGATGATTTCTGTGTGACAGTTGTAAACACTTTTGTTTCTTCTCCAGGTCTGATTGACTATAATTTTCACTGCTTCCGGAAGGCCATCCATGAGGTCTTTGAGGTCAGAATGAAAGTGGTGAAATCGCGGAAGGTTCAGAGTCGGCTGCAGAAGAAAAAAGCGGCCACCCCTAATGGAACCCCTCGAGTTCTGCTGTAGGTGAGGTTTCAGGAATCAGGCCAAATCTTCTGGAATCAGGCCTTTGCCATGAGGCTTCTGCACTGTGACGCACTAACGGAAGAGGAAGGAGGAGCCTGGGACTCATGACACATATTTGTTGTTAAAAAAAAAAAAATCCTGCAACCCTCTTGATCTTATCTTTTTTTAAATAAAGTAAGCACTTTGAAGCAAACACTTGTATATCAACAATGAAGTGGAACCCACTGTACTTTCGTTACACAAATGTAAACTTCTGTGATCTGTAGTCAGGAAAATCCCAAGTGAGAACTGCCAGGAACTGTACATATGTTGCACTTTTTCATGTTTTTTTCTCAGTGAACTGAACTTTGATAAAACGACTTTTCTAAGCTTTTTTCTGTACGTGGTGTCAAGGACGTGCATACATGTAAAGTATAACACTATGGCAATCAGCAAGGAATCCAAAAGGGATGCATTGGTAATGACTTTTTGTAAATTTGGGCATCTTTGCTACCAGTTGTTGAGAAAAATCATTTTTCAGTGGGGCTGGAACAGACCGGGGCTGTAGGCTCCTGGAGCAATAAGAATTGTTCCCTGTTTATAACCAGCGTGAACAGGAATTTTGTAGAATGTCGTTAGTAGCAAACTGACCTACAAGTTTCTGGCACTGGGGCTGTGCCTCCTTGCTCGGTAGTTTTCGTGAAGTTCTCGGCCCCCCACGCCGCTCTGTGATCACGTGGTTCAGGGGGATGATTTCTCTATGGTACCTGACTATGCTTTAGAACCTTTGGGACCAGACCTCCACAGTGCTGCCGGTCACTGGGGAGAAACAAGGGTGCAGCTGAGCTGCAGCGTGTCGAGAGGCTTTCCTGTACCTTCCCCCCGGGGCTGAAATAGCTTCGGAGGCCAAAAGGTCTTCAAATGTAGGTGACTGACAGCTACAGACAAAGCCACATGTACACAGTAATAGCTGGCTGGCCCCTGTGTAATGGCCTGTGGTTGTGCTACCTTTCAAATGGCTATATAGGACCAGTCCCAGTGAATGGAGAAAAAACTCAGCTCCCCACCATAAAGCATCATTCAGCTGGTCACGCCGGTCACCTCCGCGTCTTCTTGTCCCCTCTGATCATGTGCCTCAGGTCTGTGTGCTGGCTGCAAACCCCTGGCGGCCAGTGGGAGAGGCGGCCTGGAGCAGACATTCACGTTCGCTGTGTCATTGTTTCTATGACATCCTTTTACGTATGTGTATTTTCACTAACTGGAGATTAAAAGCCCTAAATCCACCGGAATGCCGAAGCATTCCAAGTAGGTAATTCTGAGTCCTGTCAAGGGGTAGCCTGGAGGACTTGCTTGTGCAGCATTAGAACATAGTTGTTTTTGTTTTGTTTTTTAAAGCAATCTCTTGGGGATATCAAAGCTGCTCCTGGCAAAATATAAAGTCTCAAAAGTAACTGTTCAAACTCTCCTACTTCTCCCTATGGCTTCTTCCTGTCCTTTCCCCTTTGTCTCCCCAAATCCTATTCCTTTCAAGCTGGCAACTGCAAATGAAGACAGGAGCTGAGTGGGGTTGAGGGTTTGAGCCTTCCATGGTGTCAATATTTCGAAAGGAGAGTTTTGAAAATTGTAAAGGCACGCTAATTCTTCCTCTGATTCCTGCTCATAAACCTGGATGGGTAGGACTCCGGGGTCCCAGGGGAGTCTTCTTCACTTCCAGAGCTATCCCCTGTTGGATGTTTGCCAGTGGGTCTGGCCATGTGCATTGTCCTTATAAATCTGATTCTCTAGTGTTTTGATTTTTTTTTTTTTTTACAGAATGTTTCTCTTTGACTAAGCAAAAGAATCACTTTTCTAATGTAACTTTATCCTTAAGAGAGAGACTTTTGCCTGTCGGGGAAACCACATATTACTTAGGTATATATTAGTATAACCAGGAGGAGCTTCCATTTTTAAGCTGGGTGTATGATGAGTTTTTGTTAAACTGTGCCTTAAAGAGCCTATTACTTCAAGAGCAAATGAGTCTTTGGGGGAAAGGCAAAAATAATCCTATGGAATAGGACCCAAGTTCATGGTAATAAGTGTACCCTTTGATTAATCCCATGTTAATAATAGATTATGGCCTCAAACTTTATGTGGCAATGACCTATGACCTCTTAATTAAAGGAAGATGTAGAAACTACATCTAAGCATTCAAATTTTCAAGTCTCTGCTATTGGAATGACAGCATTTCTTCACTTTTTTTGCATTTTATTTCTGATATGGGAGTTAGCTTATTTCAATGTGTATGGCCGTGTTTTGTTCTCAGATCTGATGCTGTAAGTACAAAGCTGAGACACATGGCTCCCGTGACTGCCCTGGAACATCTTTGCTTGGTTTTAAGGGTTGAGAACTTGAACCGTAGGTTTCTAGAGCCGGGCAGTCCTCTGCCTTTTGAATCCGTTAGAACTACCTAGAAGCAAGACTCTGAATTCTAAGCTTTGGTTATTTTCTGTGATGTAGGTTAGTGTGAGTGACCAGTATGGCGTTTTCTTTTCTTTTTTTTTTTTTTTTAAGAAACATAAATAAAAAACAATCACAAATAAGTGTTATTTTGTGAACATAGTCTATTTTGGACCCTTGAAATGCCTAAGATCACAGCAATATTGTTACATACGGGTCGTATGCCACCTCTGCTTGAAACATGCTCCAGAGGAACACAGGACTCTTGACCAGTGTGTGTGCTGCTTGTACAGCCTGGGCGTGGTGTGTAATCAGATGTGCTCTATGCTTTACTTTAAGCACTACAGCATTTATAACGATTGTTAAGCTGTTGCTTTTAAGGATGTGACTGCCAATTTAAAAGCATGTGTCATGTTTATGATTTCTAAGGCTCTCATTTTACTTCAAATGTACTCATTGCTAAGCTTTCTGGGAGCAGAATGTCCTCTTGGGTGAAGAGGAAGTGTGGCCTTTCATATCTGTGAGGTTGTTTACCATACACATAAGTCACTGTTCCATTGGCACTGTTCCATTTAGGAAAATGTGTGTGTCCTGATGAACCGGCTCTCATTTTATGGAAATGAAGACAAATCACACTACTTAAACTGAATTCACACTTTAGTTTTTAAGTCATCTTTCTGTATTTTTATGGGGACACGTCTGTTAGGATTTCTAGAGCTGTTGTTTGAGTAAACTTCAGATATTAATTCTTGCTGCGCTGGCCCTCGACTCCTGTGTGTCTACAGATCCATTTGCCAACAGCCGACTGCATCATTCCTCACCTTGCTAAGATTCCACTCCACAGTGGGCTTCACAGATGCCCTCAGAGTTCTCGGAGAGGGCTGGCATTAGATGCCGTATCTTACGTAGGAAATCCTCTTTCTCATAGGAGAACCTGATCTGAAATCATTATTTCCAAGATTCAGGATCGGTGGCGATGCTGAATTTGAGAGAAAGAAAATGCTTAATAATAAATAACAATGACTTCATACTAGTTGTTACCGATTGAGTGTATCCAATACACCAGGCGTTGCTCTGAAGTGCTTTCACAGAACTAATCCTCATAAATCCAGGAGGTAAGTATTAATCCTTTCTATTTTACACAACCAAGGGCAAAGAGACAAAAGAATTTGGTCCAGGGCACTTGGAGTTTAGGGTTTGCTGCTGCATGGGCTTATCTTCTGGGGAAGTTAAAAAAAAAAAAAAGTGCTGATCCTGCCATGAGCTCCCCTTGCCCACTTAGAGAACTTATAGGAATGGTGTCCCACATGTACTCCACACAGCAGAGAGGCAGCAGAGGTGGCACGGCTGCCTTCCTAACCCCTCCAGTCACTCTGATGTTGAAGATAGCAAAGTGTTTACCAGAAGGAAATTGAAATATATTTCACAGCCATTTGGTTTTTAAAATAGGAACAGTATATCAAGCTCTGAGAAGAGAGAATAGGCCTTTGGTTTTAGCTGTATTCAACTTTTTACCTTGAGTTTGTAACATGCGTAATGATGACTTAGAGAAAATAAAGCACTGATGTGAACTGAAATTCAAAGAGGTGCACTTCAGCCCTAATCCTCTCCAGCTTCAGACCTGTGTCTACAATTGCCCCAGCCTCCAGTTGCGGCCATCTGCTGTGAGTCTTATCTAGCATGTCTGGAATTGGCTTCCTTCTTGCCTGATAGTCTGGGGTGGTGTGACCCCACCTACACCGTCCTTGTCAGACACATGGGCTTCGTTCTTGACTCCCCTCCTGCTCATCTGTGATCGCTCGCTGGGTTTGTTAGCTCAGCCTTGTACAAGTGTCTACTGAATCTGTTCTCTGCCACTGTCCTGTGCACAGCCCTGTCTCTTCTTTCTTGGATCTCAACAGCATCTTAACCAGTACATCGCCACCTCCCCCACCCTCCAAGGAGACCTAGAGTGATCTTTTTCTTTGCTTTGCAAAGATACAATTCTAAGAACATCCTGATATTTCTCTCCTTCCTTCCTTTTTTTTTTTTTTTTTTTTTTTTGTGGTAACAGACTTTCAATTGAGTTTATAATCACAGGCTTAATACTCCACTAAATATAATGTTCAACAGATGTAAAAGTAGAGAGACTACTGTTAGGAATATAGAAAAGGGCTGTAAACAATAATCAAATCTAAACCACCACAATTCTGACTTCTCCATCCCTTGTTAACTATCCCCAGCAGCTCCCCCCATCTTGTCCCTCCTCAGCAGAACTGGACAAGCATGTGGGAAAGAAATCATAAGCTCCCCTGCCTCCCCCCCCCCCGTTTTATTTATTTGAGAGGCAGGGGGAGCCCCCATCTGCTAGCAAATTCACCAAGTGCCCTCAGTAGCCCCTAGCTGCGGTTGGAGCTGGGTACTCGGTCCAGGTCTCCCGTGTGGGTGGCAGGAACCCAGTTATGTGAACCATCACTGCTGCCTCCCTGGGTCTTCATTAACAGGAGCTGGAGCTGGGAACTGAACCTGGGTACTCCGGGTGCAGGCATTTTCAACCCAAAGCCAAACACCTGCCCTGGAGCCATGCACTTTGATAACTTTGTCAAATCGTGTTCTAAGAGAAATTACAATTTCCTTTCTCCCTACAACTACAAATACTTACAGGGCACCTGTTAGATGCCAGACACTGCTAGTAAAATGGCTAAAAGGCAGATGCTAGAGATGAAATGATTGTATATCTAAAAAAATAAAAATAAATTTTAGGTGGCCCCCTAGATGTCAGTTTTTAGAACTGCATCGTGTCTGACTTCAGCACTCTCCAGCAGGAAACATGGATAGTAATAACAAGCATCCAAGAAATTGTAGCAGATTGGTAGCTATAGTTAGTATTATTAATTTAATGTAAGCTTAAATTTGCCATAAGAAGTCAGCTATAAAAGTGCAAATAAATTAATGCCTTAACTTTAGGAGGTGAAATACCTTAAGTGAGGAGTTTTAAATATGGTGATTTCATACTTTTCTAACAGCACATACTAGAGTTTTAGAAAGTGTATGGAAAATGGAGTTAAAAGATAAGTTTAGGCCGGCGCCGTGGCTCAATAGGCTAATCCTCCGCCTTGCGGTGCCGGCACCCCACGTTCTAGTCCCGGTCGGGGTGCCGGATTCTGTCCCGGTTGCCCCTCTTCCAGGCCAGCTCTCTGCTGTGGCCAGGGAGTGCAGTGGAGGATGGCCCAAGTGCTTGGGCCCTGCACCCCATGGGAGACCAGGATAAGTACCTGGCTCCTGCCTTTGGATCAGCGTGGTGCGCCGGCCGCGGTGGTCATTGGAGGGTGAACCAACGGCAAAGGAAGACCTTTCTCTCTGTCTCTCTCTTTCACTATCCACTCTGCCTGTCAAAAATTTAAAAAAAAATAATAAGTTTAGATGCCGGTGCTTTGCTATAGTGAGTAAAGCTGTCACCTGTGGTGCCGGCATCCCATATGGAATCTGAAGGCAGGAGCCAGGAGCTGCTTGCAGGTCTCCCATGTGGGTGCAGGGGCCCAAGCACTTGGGCCATATTCTACTACTTTCCCAGGCCATACCAGAGAGCTGGATCAGAAGTGGAGCAGCCGGGACTCGAACTGTGGCCCATATGGGATGCCAGCACTACAGGTGGCAGCTTTATCCACTATGCCACAGCACCAGCACAAGATTTATTTTTATTTATTTGAAAGAGGTACCTGGAAGAAGCACCTAGTAGCTTCTGGCTTCAGCTCAGCTCAGCTCAGGCCATTAATGCTATTTGTGGGTCCTATCTTAACTCAGGTGAATATTGGTCTTATCTGATGCTGAGAGTCAATGAATTTGCCCTTTTTTGCTATCTTGACCCTCCCAAGAGTCAGCTGGACATGAACTTTGTGATGAAAGGGGATTTAGCAAGCTACATGGCTGAAAGAGGGCATCTGAAACCGTGATGACCATTCTGTTTCCCCAATCTACTATGCTCTGGGGCAAGCAGGATCATTCTGATCTCCCAGAACAGTCAGAACGAAGGCCCCTCTTGTAAGAGGCCAGCTGTAGAGCAATCAGATCTCAGTCCTATGCATTCAATTCTGTTTGCTCTCCCTTGGGCTATTGGTCGCTGGTCTTGCAGAGAGAGAAACTTTTTATTTTTATTTTTTTATTTTTATTTTTTGACAGGCAGAGTGGACAGAGAGAGACAGAGAGAAAGGTCTTCCTTTGCCGTTGGTTCACCCTCCAGTGGCCGCCGCGGCCGGCGCGCTGCAGCTGGCGCACCACGCTGATCTGAAGGCAGGAGCCAGGTACTTCTCCTGGTCTCCCATGGGGTGCCACAGCAGAGAGCTGGCCTGGAAGTGGGGCAACCAGGACAGAATCCGGTACCCCGACCCGGACTAGAACCTGGGGTGCCGGCGCTACAAGGTGGAGGATTAGCCTATTGAGCCACGGCGCCGGCCATAAATAAAATCTTGAAAAAAAAAAAAAAAAGTGTTGCCAATTCACAGAACTCATTTAATGTTCTAGGTTAGTACTTTATCTGATCTTAAGAACCATTTAAGGTACTTAAAAGCACAGATTCCCATCTGTGCACTGGTCTTGTTAAATCGGATTCTCTTGGGAGAGGTCTGGGACTCTATCTTAAACAAATGCCCCAGGCCTTGTTTTCCCTGCAGTCGTTGAAAGGGATAGGGAAGGAGAGGCTGAGAGATCAGGTTTGGAGGCTCCGGGTGGGGTGGGGTGGGGATGTGCTTTCTTGCCTCCTCCACCCCAACAAAAAGTTATGGAAAACTGGACCTAAACTATAGGTTTATTTTGATGCAAAAGTTTGAAAGCCAGGCAGATTTTTTCTAATATGCATTTTCTTGTTAAAGACTTCCCTTATATATCTACAGATAGTCATACGTAATATTTGTATCTCAAGTGCTAGTATCTTTTTCCAACTTGATTATGTACCTTTTTTTAAAAAAAGATTTATTTAGTGAAAGAGACACAGAGAGATCTTCCATCTACAGGTTCACTCCCCAAATAGCTGCAATGCCAAAGAACTAGGAGCTTCATTGAGATCTCCAAGTGAGTGGCAGAAGTCCATGTAATCGGGCCATCTGCTGCTGCTTTCCCAGGAGCATTAGCAGGGAGCTGGA